GGGGGGGGGGGGGGGGGGGGGTGCAGGCAGGTAAAAGGACTCTGGAAGGACTTATTCTCCCCATGCTGTCCATCACCCGCCCCCACAAACGTACCCGCTCAGCCATCATCATCGCCGGGATTGATGGGCAACCATGTCCAGCATCAGGCTGCCAGTCTTACTGTATGTTTTCCTGAAGATAATAGGATTAGCGTTATTTCTGAGGCCCTCCGACGTGGGGCAGCACGTCGTAAGTAAGGCTTATTAGTGTGTATTAATGGGTGAGTGTTCGGCGCACGCAGCCTGGAATCGGAAGACTACTTCTGGGTGCTGGGTGTCGATGCATCGCCCTGATGAGGTGTCCTGCGATGAGGTGGCGGGGGGGCTCTCTGTGGTATTGGGAGTGTTCGGGGTTTGGTGGGTTTAGCTCCCGGTGATTTAGAACGCTGCTCCTCTGAAGAGCAGCTGCAGCAGGCCGAGGGTTTGGTGACGGCGTCAGCGATGGCGGGGAGTCCAGCGGCACCCAGGCCTCCCCATTCCCCGACCTCCATGTAGCCACCATCCCTGTTATTCGCCCATGTGGGTTGGTGTAATTCGTTATGACACGCAGCCTCCCGCAGGAAGCTCCAGGTTGTGTGCATTCCCACTGGCTGACATGTGAGCGGCTCGACGGATTCACCCTGTCACCAGCAGGGCGGCAGCAACACGGCAGCGTCGGGGGCAACGTCAGCGCCTGGAGCGGGAGGCTCAGGTCCAGCCCAGGGGGACCTGGACCTGTTTGGTGAGAGAGGCAGCAAGACAGAGGAGACCAGCAAGAAGCCACTCTCCAAGGACTCCATCCTGTCCCTGTACAGCAGTGGTGGTGGTGGAATGTCCCAGCAACCGGCCCCAGGTATCTGGCTGCTCCTCGAATTCTGGGGGCATATGGGTGTGGCATGTGGGCGGGGCTTGTGGGTGGGGTTTGTGGGTGTGGTATGTGAGCGGGGCTTGTGGGTGTGACATGTGGGCGGGGCTTGTGGGTGTGGCATGTGGGCGGGGTTTGTGGATGGGACATGTGGGCGGGGCTTGTGGGTGTGGTATGTGGGCGGGGCTTGTGGGTGTGGTATGTGGGCATGGCCTGCCCGCATTTCAGATGGAATGAACACTGTGCCTGCAGCCGGCTTTAATCACATGTGACTTGTCTCAGTATTAATGAATGTCAGCCGTTTGACAAAAAGGCTGTTTTATCATTATGAAGGACTCGTTTCTGCCTAGTTGAGGACAGCAAGTGTTTAAGTGGCTTGTGTTTGAGCCCTGGTTCAGTTTGATGGGATTTAGGCTTGTTAGGAGTCTCCACCTTTAACGTCACTTTTAACATTTTCATATGTGTACGGTTCAGGCCGTCCCAGATTCTTGTTCATTTGTTTGTTTTTTTTAACCTCCTTTATCTAGTCCCGATTGTCATTTTTCCCAGCATGCCTGGTTTTATTGTGCTGCCCAAAAAAGGCAAAACACAGTAACTACGTTGACACTGAAAGTGAGAAAAATGGTGCTTTGCCTTGGTTTTAGTGTGAATTTTGTAGTTACTGTAATTATCACTCTTTCTTCAACACCAAGTCCAGTTAAGCTAAGATATTTTGTCCCAAGATAACTGAGTCTCTTAATCACTATTTTTTGTTCATAACTCAGTTTTAATGAAAGTCGTGGTGCCTTTCTTCTGGGGGTCAGCGTGGGCAGCTGTGTATAGATATTACAGTGTGTTTCTGTGCGTTTTAACCCCCCCAAGCTGCCATGTATATGGGAGCCTCCCAGATGCAGTTCCCCACCCCGCCCGCCGCGGCCTTCCAGGGCTACGCCCCCATGAGCGGGGCAGTGCCAGCCAGCCCCATGGTGGGTGCCATGGTGGGCCAGAACACAGGCGTGATGGTCAGCATGGCGATGCCCAACGGCTTCATGGGGAGCGTTCCGGGCGGGGTGACGAGCACGGCGCCGGGCATGATGCCACCACAGGGGGGCGCTGTGCCAACTGGGGCGGTGCCCGCCCAGAACATGTATGCTATGCAGCCCGGCCAGCAGGGACAGTGGAACGTGGGCCAGGTGAGAACACCATTTCCCCAGCCCCCCCCCCGAGGCAACGGGAGGCTCTAGCAACACTAATATTTATTCAGCATGGTTGTTACAATAATGTCTGTCCTAGTGGCTCTAACTGGAAAGATACCTCCTATCGGAGCTAATCAAGAACACATCAGTTATACTGGTGAATTGATCCTGCTGTGATTGTTTTCATATTTTACGTTAAATTGGTTTTTGTTGCGTGTGTTGAGTCATGCATGCAGAGCGACACGCCTTAATATGGGATCCACATGGAGTCAGCGATTGGCCGGCTGTGTTTGCTCTCTCTGCATTCGTGTGACAGCTGGGAGCTAAAGTCATTAGCGACTCTGAGGGCAGCAGCTTAGGAATATACAAAGAAGTTGGGGTGGGGGGGGGATGTCCCAGCAGCTGTGGAACGTACCGAGTGTGTCTGTGACTTCGTGTCTGTAGGGGACTGTGTGTGTTTGTAAATGATTGTGTGTGACTGTGTGTCTGTGAGTGACTGTGTGTCTGAGGGTGACTATGTCTGACTGTCTGTGACTGGGAGACTGTCTGTGGGTGACTGTGTGTCTGCCTGTGGGTAACTGTTTCTGTATGAGACTGTGTTTCTGCCTGTGTCTGACTGTGTGTCAGTGGGTAACTGTGTGACTGTGGGTAACTGTGTGCTGGTGACTGTGTGACTGTGTTTGTGGGTGTCTGTGGGTGAGTGCCTGCTCAGGTGCGGTGTGGAAATTTCCAATTTTGTATGAACCTGGACATAGCGAAACGTTTGATTTGTTGTCAGGTTTCATCTGTTTTTCAATTTTGTAGGGGTTAGCAATCATTAAATGCACTGACAGGTTGAAAGAGAGATAAATAGACAAATGTTTCTGTCTGTCTTTGTGTGTCACAGAGAGAGAGAGAGAGAGAGAGAGAGAGAGGAAGTGTTTGGTAATACTCTGTCCGCAGCATCCTGACTGCTGCGTGTGTGTGTCCGTGTGTGATGGCGCATTAGTGTGTCTCTGGCCCCAGCACCCTGAGCGCCTGCCATCTGTTATCTGTCTCAGGTGAACCAGCAAATGTCCGGGATGAGTCTGAATGGAGTGGGGGGAGGGGCTGTGAGCTTCGGACAGCCGCCTGCCTGGACCGGGCCCCCCCCAGGCCAGACCCTCAGCACACAACTGTGGAAGTGATGGAGGCGGTCGGCGGGGCGGGTGGTGGCGGGGCTCCCCCCAATCTGAATCTGTCCTGCCCGATCGGAGTGCGTCCATCTCCATCAAGAGGCCAGAATTAAGTTGCACCCCCCCGACAGCTGCATACATCTTACCTACAAACTATTTTCTGAAATGATTTTTAAGCCTATTGCTGGACCAATTATACAGGCGTCTAATGTATCATTACCAATACAATAGTGAATAATAGTATTTAAATGGAAGCGATGTGCTAATGTTTGACTTCCTGTTCCGCGTGTGTGACTTCCTGTATACAAACTATCCCTTAGAATATATTGTGAGAGAAAATGTGCTGTACATTTTACGTGTTACCAGGAGCAAAGACACGCCCACGTATCCCCAGGCCTCTGTCCCAAAACACCGTCCCATCAACGGAAACACGTTGGTCATCATGTGGTATTTATTGTACATAGAGTAGAAGAGTATGAGATGTTATGTAATCTGTGTTGGGCTGAAATGATGGTACGGACAACCTGGGAGAGTGGAGAGGAGAAGTCAAGAAATGGATGAAGCTAGAGATGAACATTTATCGATGATCGCTGCTGAGTAACCACCATCGCGGACACAGGACATCAGTGTGGCAGGACGGGAAGCGAGTCTCATCCTCCATCTTCATTTCTGTGATGTGTTTACATTTTTTCTGGTGCTTAGTAGCGATGGAACATGTTTTCATGCATTAAACAGTGAACAGCCATAAATGATATTCTGATCTATGTTTCTCTTTTGTCTAATTACTCGCTGTGTACATAAATGTACATAGTTCTGTTGCAATTTGCCATTTTTTTTTCCCTTTTCGAAAGACGGTCCTTTTCCAATAAAGATGGCCGTTACTGCTCACATTGCATAGCTTCTCCTGGTGGACGACACTGAAGGGCCGTAGCAGTAAAACCCAGTTTTCTTCTTTTGGGTATTGTCAGGGTGACAGGATTTGTGGACCTGCACTGGAAAATGTGCAGCCAGGCTGTCTTTTTGGGCCCAGCAGAGGGCGAGTCCTTCGCAAAGGGGCAGAGTCTTCAGTCCCGGGGACTTCGGTTTGGTTGAAGGCAGGGGTCATCTTGCCCCCGTCCCTCTTGGCCTCCCCGACCCTTTAGACCTCAATCACGACGGAGTCCAACTGCTTTTTGGGCTCGTTCCCCAGGTTCACCTTCTCGGTGCGAGTGTGCCACACGAGCACCTGGGGTCAGAGGAAAGGGCGGGGGTCAGTATCCAACACATTTTCACACGGCGACGAGGTGGTCCGTTGGCTACAACCTGCGTGGCCTCACTGAATGCCGGTCTTGCGTGGCTTCCGTTTAACCTCAGAAGATTCATCGTCCACTTTTCAATAAAATTATTGCATGTTCCGGTCAAGAGTGCCACTGACTGCGATATAGTATTTCCTGTCCTTTCAGAGGTCTTTAAAAACTCCAAAAAAAAAAACAAATCAGTGCTGAAACTTTTTTTTAAAACATGTCATAATATCTTTCTAGAAAATCCTATTTCGCACGTTCAGTCAGGCACAAAGCGGCCCCGCTGGACGCCTATAGAGAGGCTTAGGCCCCCATCCCCAGGGTGTCAGTCTAATTTGAAACAGCACTTTACAGTCAGACTCCCGAGGCCGCCCGTCGGCTCGGCGTGGCTGGCTTCTGGGACCGGACCGTATCCAGGCACGACTGAATTTGTAATGGGGGGGGCCAGGGCAGACACAGCCGAGCGATTTCCATCCGAGTGCCGTGGCCGGCCACTTAAATGGACCTGACTCTCTGACCCCAAACTACAGGCCAGAATAACGAAAAACTGTAAAACGAGCATTAGGGAAGCGTCTTGCTGGTTGCCACGGCGAGCAGATGACCCACTGTATGTGGATCCGGATAATGTTGTTACCTATAGCCTAGAATGCTTTTTTATTGTAACTGTGTTACTTTCACGTCCTCAGGGAGATCCCAAGGGTGCCCCCCCCCCCCGTCCGCACAAGCTCCCTGTCCTGATTACCTGACTTCCACATCGGCTCGTACCCTTTGTAGTGCTCTCAAGATGCCCACGTAGTGGATATGGAAAGTGCCAGAAGGTCAGATGGAGCTCTGTGTGACAGAGCAGTGTGGCAGGTTGCAGTCGCGGGACCACCGGCAGGCCTAAGGGAAGGTTCTATAGAGCGGGGGCTGGTGCTCTATAGAACAGGAACTCTGCTGCCCCCTGTGGTTTAACGCAGAATTATTCCATAACTTAGGCTATTAATGTCTGTCGTCTTTCCAGCCGAAGCCCTCCCCCGCCCCCAGTACTCCCAGTTCCCTTGGAGAGACTGGGGGGTGCTAAAGTTTGTGCTATTTCAAATTGCCCCCCAAACACTCCTTTATCACCCTGAGAGGGACATGGCGGCGTGCCAGGGGGATGGCATTGACCGGCGGGGCTGTGAATCTCCCGCGACCAGCGACCAGCGGAGGCCGTAGAACGCCTGCAGGAGGCGCCGCGCAGCTGCCCGTCTCTGTGCACCGTCCCCCAGCCAACGGCGCAAAGGAGCCAGGAACGGCCAGCGGAAGTTTCCCTGGTTACAGCACATAAATACAGAAACAGAAACCCCACAGCCGGAGGGTCTCTACTTACTAAGCCCCCCAGGAATCGTAATGAGCTCAAGTCTCCTTTTAAATACGTTTAATATCTTAACTGAGTGGCTCCTATTTGACAGGCTGCCTGTGACATGATTGCATAAACAGGGGGGGAGGTGATCTTTTAAAGATCCATTCGCAGTGTTGATCTTCTGTTACCCTCTACTTCAATGCCAGAAAAAAGACAATCCAGGAAGAAGAATCTATTTGCATTTTTAATGAGTGCAAAAAAAAAAAGGCCCTGGAGGAATAATCTCCAGAGGCCAAAATGCTCAATCAGCTATGTAATTAGTTTTTATCATTTAATTTTTCTTTAAATAATAGGTAGCGAGTACTCATCAGTTCCACAATTCTTATCTTCATTCCCGATGGGGCCGCATGCAAATTCAGCTCCTGCTTATTTCCCATAAACTGTCGATACGCAGAAGATCCCAAACACTATGCCCAGTTATCACCTGTTGCTTAGATGTCTCCTGTGTGATAATGATGGAGATCACCCATCTATGTCGCTTATGGGAGTTTTACTTCCATGTTCTGAGGGCAAAATGAAAAATGATTGGTTCAGAGAGATGACCAATCTAATTGTAGAGGTGGCTCCAAGCAACTAGAGGAGGCGGGACCAACCAATCAGATGTCTTGGTCCCACCTCCTCCATCTATCTACGCAGAAGCTGCTCCGGGGAAGCATGGGGTGAATATGGCCTGGATGCCAAGACATTGCAGAGTCACCCACTATGAGCGATTTAGCTCCAGCGTTACCCACTGACAGTTCCCATCGAAACACATGTGGCGCACTAAGCAAGCTGGCGCCCCCTGTCTGATACAGAGTGAAATTGTCTTGCTAATTCCGCACCCCCCCCCCCAGAAGATGGCGCCCTAAGCGGCTGTCTGTGGCACCTAATGGGTTGACTAGCCATGCCCACTGAGCCACCTGCTTGCACTAAGACAGGGATCAGGATGATCTGAATGTAACTCCCATGTCTTCTTTGACACCGTGAACATCCCAGCAGCTCCAGAAAAGGATCCCTGGACTACAAACAGGCAGGGCAGACTCACCCGGGTGCAGTTGCTGGCCTTTGGTTCCAGGTCTTCCATCCTGGTGATCTGCTTGAGAAAATCGGTCTCCTGCATGCCGGGCTTTGAGCCTTGCCGCTTGAAGACCGCCTGGGGGTTCTCCAGCAGCACCTGCAGATTGATGGCGAAGCCTACGCAACGCACGTGCACCGATTCAACATTAGTCACCTCGAAGCATTCTCCCATGCCACCTGCCCTCACAATCTGGTGCGGGCTCTCTCATGTGCACCAATCACAAGCACTCTCTGCCGACATACCAACGACCAGTGATTAGTTCGATGCCTGTCTGAGGACGGACTCTCAGCCGCATCTGTCAGGCATCTGCTTTGCCGGATGGCAGAGACACTGACTCCTGTTCATCAGTACATCCAGTTTTATCTCTGAAATGGGTCTCATTTCAAATTCTTGTGCTCACCATGATTGCAGGACAACGGCTGGCCCTTTCATCTCCAGGTCCCGGAGTGTTTATATCTTCTGGAAACCATTTAAAGTTTATACTCTTCTTATGTCTCAGTTTCTAAGACATTTTAATCCAAAATGAGCGTTGGGGGGTTTTAAATAGAAATGAAAACCAATACTGACAAAAATAACTTTCTTCTAACTGTGTAGCTGTTCCTTAAGAACTGAACTTGCGCCTTGTTTTCCTTTGGATAATCCTTTTATTAGTTGGATATCTTTAGGGTAACTTAGGTGAATGAGTATATATATATATATACATATATACATAGAGAGAGAGATAGAGAGAGAGAGAGACCCAGTATTTGCAGGTTTTAAGCACATATGTCACATCACTCGGTCAGGTGGGTTTATGTCCAGCTTTCTCGGCATTTCATCAGCTCGTCATCAGTAAGCTTGGGTCCAATGTAACGACATGACCACCCCTCAACCACGCCCCCTGATCCAGACACATTTTTATTTCACCCTATACCGAATTTAGGGCTAAATTTTACCACGTTAATGACTAAACCCTAGCATCTGACTCCAGATACCACAATTCCATCAAACCGTCAGCTATAAAAGCCTCCAGGAAGGACCCATACTGGATAATCTATTTGCTTAGTCTGGATCGTTCTCCAGAACAAGACTGCGGCTGTACTCCGTGGTACTTTACAGACTATTAAACTAAAATTACAACAAACAAACAAAAACTCAGAAGTATCTCAGAAGTAGCTTGGGCTCATTTTCTATGAGTACATTTCCACAATGTATTCGACATAATGTCAGTATCGGCAGGAAGGCGAGATTTGCCCAAACTTGCATGGGCCGTGCATTCAGTCCAGCCCAGTCCGCTTTGGCGAAACGCGGCTCCATTAACGGCCTTGAGCAATTCCCAAAGACAGCCGTGGAGCACCAATGGACTGGTAATGCTTCGCCTGCTTTGTAAAGCCGTCACACCATGCAATTCTGTCCTGAGCCGTGACAATTTAACGGTATAATTTGCAATTCCCTGCGTAGCTGGTAGCACAAGCCACAGGACTGCCATAAACCCAAAGACTGAAAGGTTCGCAAAGGTTAATTGCTTCACAATGTGGGGAGAAAAAAAAAGCGCCCCTAGTGTTCACTATGTGGAAACTACCTGTGAGGATGAGGTGATCGATTCGGAGGAAAGTAACTGAGGAGGAAAACAACGCTGAGTTTAGACAGTTAAAGCTTTCCCTGCCTCCCATCTGCAGCGAGGGATACTCACCCGCCATGTCGATTGGGAAAAGCCGCCCCGCCTCCCAGCCCGTGTACCAGCCGACCACTCTGCCCTTCTCCACCAGGGGGCGCTCATATAGGCGGCCACCAGTCAGTCCCACCGGCCACACGGACACCCGCCGGGTCGATCGCATCTGTAAAAAGAGACGCAATGGGATGAGGACAAAACGGTGTAAAGAAACAAAGAAGCAAGTAGTCACTGTCTGCAGTCCCCTCTATGCTATAAGGCTTTTGGTTTTCAAATGTATGCAAATACCTTTTAATAAAATGTCCTGACCCACCGTCTTGCGGTCCGACCTAAGAAACGGTTGGCTGGTCGGGAATATAAGTAAGACTCCTTAATATACTCTTAAAACTGCTTGTCCCCCAGTGATAGGCAGGAGACTTCAGCAAATGCATTACGATGCAAAATACACTCTAATCTTTCCTTGAGGCTCTCACCCCGCGCGGGTGTCTTTGTGCCGCCCGGATAAAGCGGCGACCTCCTTACTCGCGTTCCACTCGGTTTACAGTAACCGCCGCCAATCTGCTTTACATTTATTTCATCACTCGGCGCTCGCGTGAGCTCCGCCAGTCTTATCGCTACGTGCCATAAATATTCATGGCAGCTCCTTCGTTTCCGTGGAGAAAAAGTGAAAAGGGGCGTCTTATTTTTATGCCCCCCGTTACAGATTATGTCCAGACAGTGGCTTTATGAGCAGCCCAACCCTAGCAGGCAGAGTACACATTAGGAGAGCAGAGTGAAGGGAAGTGATTCGTATATACACTGTCTGCAGCAACCAGCACTGATCCAAAGGCAACGGGGATCAACCCGCGTCTCTCTGGGTGGTTTCCGCAGGGTTGTCTCCTCGAGGATGCCCACTAGCCCGTTACCTTCTTTAAGGTTGCTGGGTCAAATCCCTGAAGGGGTCATACCAGAAATGTTACTACTCTCAGAAAAAAAGGTAAAAAATTGTCCCTTTGCTTGTCACTAACCTCAAGGGTCCGCCAATTGTACCTTTAGCTGTAGGTAATTTTAAGGTACAGAAATGAACTCTGAGGAACAATTGTGTACCATTTATGGTACATTAATGCTGTTTGTACCTTTGGGATGTTCCATTTCTGTACCTTAAAAGGTACACTTATAGGGGTACAGCCCCTGTGACAATCAAAGGTACAATTTTTTACCCCATTTTCTAAAAGTGTACAGATTTACGAAAAACGGGCTAAGCCTTTATTGTGGGTTGTCTGATTTTAATCAAAATCAATGAGAATAGGCTACACTACTTAAACTAATTAGTGTACATTTATTTGCGGGCGCTAAAGAACATTTTAGCCAATGCGACACCTCTGGGTCATACAATACTATCGTGGGTCAAAGAATGACATACTGTCCTTATCACGGTTTCAGATAAATGATAAGGTGTGTGTAAAACATGCTTCACTTTAGACTAGGAACTACAGAATCATCAAAAAGCACCCACAACTGTTACAGCTACATTTAATTCCCGAAGCTCAAGATGAAAGAAGACTCCAGACATTAGGATAATGGAACTTATAGGATGAAGTATTTCAGTGAAACTGTTAGGCTCCTAATTTGGCCCACGATGTCTTTTTTGGCACACCACGTGTTATGCAATGTTAACTGGTTCTATACCACATAGTAGTATCTTCGTATGTAAACTACGTGCATATGATTGATAAAATAAAGTATGTGTGACTTGTAATTCGCGTGCCTTTGTACTGTTATATGCTGAGGAATGTCGTATCACAACTGCTGACGTGACGCTTAGATTGCCGTCTGGCAAAAACATAAGCGTAAATTACAATGCGAAAAGGACGTTATTTATTTAAGAATATCAAAATGGTTTCAAAGTTTAAATCATTACTCAGGTAAGTCTACGAGTAATTACATCAAAAACGTAGGGAATTATTGGTGCTGGCAAGATTGCAAAGCGGATTTAAGTATAATTTTGAATCCTTAGATAACACCATGGATGCCAATACATCGTGAACACCCAAAGCTCCGGTGAGATCAATCACGACGTGACAATTCGTCTGAGATGACCCGCTGCCCAAATGGAAAATATATTCCACGGATAGCGATGCAGCTATTAACGCGAGACATACGCAACGGATACCTGCGATTTCCTAGAGATTATAATTATTATAAGTAGCCTATCTAAAGTGATCTCTGAATGAATAAATCTAGTTTTATTCAAATGAAGGTATAAGTCATTCATTTTTAGTCATTTCAGAACAATTCAAGCGTGGCAACTTAAAATTATTTAAATACAATGTTACCTCTGATCACAAAAAAAATTGCTTGTAATTTACCTGTCATCATTAAGAAAAAACAAGTAAGCTCTAAACTAGGATGGTTTTTCCGACACCAATAGGTATAAAGTGCTTACATTTCCAGATTTAGAGGTAACAGGAGATGCACCTTAACCACGCCTGAATAAACTAGGAAATAGGAACGCACCGCAAATCAGGACACACTGTAACTAAATATCAAAACTAAGCAAAATGCCCATGTACCTCCTCGAACAGCTCCAGGCTGTACGTGTTGTCATCATCTGCGAAAAAGACCACCCCGGAGTCGTTGCGGGAGCGAAGCAAGCGTAGCGATCTCAGCGCCGCGTTCCTCTGCTCGGTACCCCGGGGTTGCCTCGGCCGCTTGTATCTGAGCAGCGTGGACACGTGTAGATGGGTGTGCTGCACCCCAGATGTGGATAAGAAGCTCGACACCAGATCCGTGATAGTGTAAGAATCCTCCACCACGATCCAGTGGAAGTTGGGAACCTGGCGGAACGTGTTGGCCAGTCGTGTGAGCTCCGCTTTCTGAACCGTTCTGGTGTAAGTGGGGGTGATGGCGTAAATGACCGGCAAGGCTGTGTTCTGAGCCTTGTAGTAGTGATCGCGGTATAGCCACGTCCTGCGCTGCACGGTTCTTCTGGTTTCGAGGTCAATCATGATTATAACGATCAAAACCCATGGCAGAACGGTGAAGAAGTAGCTGTAAAATATTGATTTCATGGTGTTAAAGTTTCCAGACAGACACTTATCCGTTACTGTTAAATTGAGTCAATATCAATATCATTTCGCATCATTTTGTCAAATGTTGAGTCATGCAAAAAAAAAGTTACATTCGTGCAAGTATTAAGAATTTCTTTCAAATATAATTCATCCACATGGGTTATGCAGCAAATATGCAAGCAGGTTCGAGGTTTCGATTTACTGCAGCTCCTCGCTGCTCCCTGAACTGTTTCCTACTACGGACTGTCTCTTTGCGGAGGAGGGTAGGTAAGTTGCCTCGCGCTGTCATAAATGTGCGTGGCGTGCGTCACTCTTTGGTTATTATTTCCAACCTATAGGCCAGAGCGATGTATGCATGACGGAGCTGATGAAATGGGTCGTGATGTCATCCAATCTTAAGGAACAGGGAAATATGGTACTTTCTAATGTCGATGCGACTCACGATCAGGTCTCATTAAACAGCCGGCACCATGACACAAATGGAAATGAATGTTTTTCCGGTCCTCTTAACATAATACAATATACACAAATACGTAAAAATATCATCCAAATACCCTACAAGAAGACGCTTATTTTGCCTGCTACTTTACTGCTGGTAATCAATCCATCAATTAATAGTTGTAAAAGTCTGTTGTAAAAGACTAGAGTCCCCACTAAAAGGTAAGCATGGTGCTTTATAGTCCCCAATGGGAAATTTGTCTTGGGCCCCAAACCACTGCATTCTGTTATGACTTGTCGGGTACGGACCGGGGAAGCAGGAGAAGGAGATAAGGACTGGGGTAAAAAGGATTTTAATCGGGACACGAAGAGGCATACGAGACAAAATTACCACAACCATACAGTGACAGAACTAGGGAAACATACTCCGACGTGAACTTAAATACATAGAACTAATGAAGACAATTCGAAACAGCTGGTGAACACGGGGAATCCACACGAGGTTAATGAGGGGGGCGTGGCTACCATGCATCGAATTACGGGGGGTACTGTACCCCGATCAAGACCCAGACCCCCCCCCCAAAAGAGACAAAAATAGCAGTTTGGGGGGAGGTCTTAACATTTTTCTTTTGTTGTAAAAAAAAAAAAGGCTGACGTCTTTATAAGTTGTCCACTTACCATTGTCCGTAGTGCTAACTGATAGCCCTAACCAGGGGCGGATTAACGCACAGGCTAGATATGGCTTAAGCCTAGGGGCCCCACGTGTGCCAGCCTGCAAGGGGCCCCCCATTGGTGCAGAGGGGGGCGGGGTTGGGGGGCCCACAGACTACTGTAGCCTAGGGGCCTCTGTGCACCTTAATCCACCCCTGGCCCTAACCATAGCTTACCTCGACAAAGTATCTCAACTCGACAGAACACCGGTACAGTCAACTTTAGTTACGTTAACTAGCAAGATGAGCTAAGTTCTCTTTTTAAATCAGGCTTATTTGGTGAGATAAAATCGATCATGGTCATTTTCCAAGGAGATGAACTCCCTATGTTTTCATTCTCATTTTATCACGAATCAATTGTGCCTTCCTGAAATTAATTAGCCACTTAGCCTGTGTGGCTTGTTATTAGGCTAATGTTAACGCATAAGAAGGTCTAACGTTATGCTCTGAAAAAACATTACTATAAGTGAAACCTATAGGGGCAACGTAAAAAAAACTAGCTAGCAAATAATAAGCCCTATTATTTGAATTTTAGTGGTATTGACTGAATTTCATATTTATAGACATTTTAGAAGCTTCATCTGATAGCCCAGATACTGTTTTGTTAAAT